TCTGCTGTTAATTTGCTTGCTATTTCAAGAACTTGAAGACTGTCAGCAAAATCCATGATGCATTACAAAACTTATAATTGAAAAGAAAAAAAACACCATCTGATGCTTTTCTGACAGGATAAACACGAAGTCTGAAAACACTGATCAGAACAAGGGAGAGGTACTAAGAGCTACTTGTATTAAAATATGATTGCAAATGAAGCAGGGAAAGAAACAGAGTTTTAAAAATTATTTCAAACCGATGCAAAATCTTTTGATGAAACCCCCCCAAATTGACACCGGGCTAAAGAGAAAAGAAACAAATTGCACAAAACATTACTTTTGAAGAAGATGACTGAACCTGTCCATAGTTTCTTAAGGCTGCATTATCTATGCCAATTAAAATTTTGCTTCTGAAAAAGAGTTAAGGCACTTCCTCTAGAGTTACTAAAAAAAGCAAATGAAAGCCTTGGCTTCGCAGAGGTGAGCGACAGTGAGCCGTTTGTTCTTGACCTCTGGATCACCCTACAGATCACATTCTTGGACATAGGAAAAAGCCACTAGTATTCATTAAAAGCAACTGGGAGGCCAGCTTTGTGCTTCTGTTCTTGAGACCTGAACAAGCTACAACTTGACAAATGTGCAGGATATTGCTGAACAATGTGGCTGTTCCTGTCAGAAAGGAAGAGCTTTAGTCCCGGCTTCATTCAGGATGAATCGATTTTCATCACAATGATGCAAATCGCAGATTTCAGTCATTATTTAAATAATCAATTTCAATCTTTAACGTCTGGGCTTTTCAGTTTTTTCCATAAAGTTGATTCCGTTAACCATTAAAATGCATTGATCTATATTGAATTAGTTTTATCTCAAACATTTTATTCCCTCCAAAAGATTCATCTGCCTATAGTTAACAAGTATATATACTGAAAGTCTTGGATCTCCAGTTTTCCTTTTCATTCTGCTAGATATGGGTGGAATTTGCCCATATATTTTAATAGCTAAAAATAATGTAAATTATTGCTTTATTAAGACTATTTTATACTTATGGCTTGTGACATTTTCGTGGAATTTTTACTGAGAACACAATTTAAAATTCATAAATAAGCCTATTGCCCTGTTATTCATCAAATTAACTACCATAAATTCTCTACATTTCAACTATTTTTGTCTTTCAAACAAACCAAAAAAGCTACCTGCAGAACTTAACAGCGGAACAAAATAAAACAGAGAAAAATATTCTCCCTGAACAATTGTTGCTGTCAAAACGTGGCTTAAACAAATTCTGGCTCCAGTTAACTGCAGTTCTCTGGTGGTTTGAATGCTTTTAAAGCTTCATTAGAAAACAGACATTGCTAGAATATTTGTATTCAAATGTCTATAGCACACTATAGTAAATTCAGTCCTTAGCATGGATGAACAATTTCAAATATAATTTAAAAAAACCACGTATTGTAAAATAACAACATTTGAATTTAAATAAAACTTATACATATTCACTTATACATATTCAGCACCCGAAGGCTGCAGTAGAAACAGACTGTCTCTCCATACCCTTTTACAGATACATCGGCATGAGTTATGCTTGCGTATGCTTCACAAAGGGAGTCTTGAGATTTAAAAATTCATGTATCCATTACTGTTTGTATTTTTTGTCCTGTTCAGTAAGTAGCCTCAATCTCAAATTTCCAAAGCAGAAAATGTTTCCATTGGAATCTCAAAGAGTTTTGACTGCATAAAATATAAACTATTTTCCCAGCAAACAAGCCAGGTTCATAGGGCAAAGCCAGAAGGAAGAGAAAGGACAGAAATGTTTTTGTGGATCGTTATCTATAGACCAAACGGAAAATCTTCAGCCATTTTGCTCCTGCAAAGAATCAAAGAATCTCCTATTTAAGGTGTGAAAATGTCAGTTACATTCTCCACCTCTGAAAATGAGCAGAGCTCCAAACATGATTCATGTCCCACCCTTGCTCTTTTCTCTTTTAGGGGCTGATACTCTTGTTTTCAACTCCCCTCCAGCTAATGCCATTTAATACTCTCGGAACCATCAGGCTAAATTCAAATTTTCTGCTCCTTAGAGGCTGTTGATATGCACCACCGCACATTCCAATTGCAAATACACATGAATGCTCCCGTGTATTGTAAGTTATTTTCTACATACAAATTCTACTAAATTGTAAGTTAGGAGGCACTACTTGAATTCTCTCAGGTCTTTAGAAAGCTTTCAGATGCACCATGAGTAATAACATGTAATGAATATGGACTGATATTTCTTTTCTGTAGTTACATTCAGTTGGCAATTTACATTTTCTAAATAGATAGATGACTTATAGCCAGTTTTCCCAGTATTCTGGCAATTACTTCTTAGAAACCCCTGACAGGCTGAAACCTCCAGAATCGCAGCTGTTATTCTTAGTTTGATCCCTCTTTTTAAATTAAAAACAGTAGCTTTATCAGCAAATGAGAATTTTTTTCCCTCTGGAAATACTTGCAAAAATGCACATAAATTGAACATGCCAACTTATCTCATTTTAGGGTTGGAGCATCTTCTGGGTTAATGAGCAGTGTTCCACTTCTGTGACAGAGCTAATTGGGGTAAGGAGGCCATAAATACATACAAAACCTCCACAAAGTCTCTTCCTTTTGGGTAATCTGAAGATTTATAGTAGTAGAGTGAGATGTGATTGCAGGGGAAGGAGAAAAAAATTAGGAAGTGCTAACTGTCTTGTCTGATCATTCTGTCTTAGTTTCCAGGCACAGAACAGATTTGGAACAGATTTTTCTAGTATCTGATGTGACTTTTCCTTCCCTTTGAAGACCAACTAAAATGCAGAAAACTAGCTAAATTTTCACATTTTCCAGAAACTGTCATCATTTAAAAAAAAAAAAAGAAACAGAAAAGATGAGACCGCATCGCTGTGCTCTGAACATAGCCTAGCTGATCTAAGCCTGTATCCAAAATGGTAGCCTCAGCTCTACATCAACACTTGCTCAAAACATGCTCAGACAGCACTTTTGCACAGATGAACACAAATGAAACATCCTTCGAGAAAGAAGTCTGCACTTGGTTGAAGCTCAGTGTGCCTTTCTAGCAATCTAGCTTCACTTCCCATTGATCACTAATTGGAAAAATTCAGTTATCTATGGACTATAGGGAGGAATCATTAAGATCTGTCTTCCAGGACTAGGTCAGGATACACATGCCATTCACTTGTCACAGTTAAAACAACTCAGTTCCTTGATATGATGCCCCTTAACATTTCAGAACAAATGTGAACAAAAGTCTGTGTGTATACCTGCAAAAATAAAAGAAATTCTAAATGCTGATGGAGACAAAAGGATAACAGACTGTGATTATGAATTTGGCAGGCAAAAGAGAAGGAAAAAGATCACTACATTTTGCCAGTACATATAAATGTAAATGTCAAGGCATATGACACGATTCTCCACTTCAGACTACCAAGCTCTCTTCCCCAGACCTGGACTCCACGTTCTCAAGATCTCTCCAGCAGCTCTGTAGTAAGCAGAGTTCAGGTAAATCTGCCCCAAATAAATTTGAAAACATGCTTACACTTCATACTCATTGGATGCCTGCAGAATACAAGCCCGCCGAGTCTGAGGCATACATATGAAAGAAACTGAACACAATCTTAATCTTGGCAGCCAACCTTCCAGCTCACCCAGCTGCTCACCTTGCAGCAAGTCTCAAATCCACCTCACATTGCCCAAGGCCTTATGTGCCCCGTCTTCTTCTGTGTGTTATACGCTGCTATTACTAAAAAAAATACTTTGAAATGTATTTAAGAGATGATTCCTTACCTGAATTAAGAACATCTTTCCCAATTTGCTGATTCTGCAGGATTTAGAGTATTTTTTTTTCTTAGCTAAGCAATGTCAGGTTGAATTAAACTAGTAGCTAAAAGCTATGACTTAAATTTTAAAAAATAGTAAGTTAAGTCAAGAATGTGAGATACAGAGCTAGATCACAGTTTTCTAGCCAGCACTAGTATATACGATATGACAAAAAAAGAATTGTCAGAAGAATCAACATGTGTTGGTGTACAAATCATCAAGGCCTGCAGGACAAGTGAAGAGTCAACAGAGATGAGATGAAGGGGAAAATTTCTAATATCTGTATATGTTTGCCCCATTCTTTGGTTCAACCCCTGCCATTCCCCCTTCCTCTCCTACTTCCACCTTTGAAGCAAGCCTGACATCAAAAATTTAAGTTCTAAGCTGATAATAAACCCTTCCTTAAGTGTGCTTAAATTAGCATCTAAGTACTGCAGCTGACAATTGAGAACACCAAATAGCATAATGATTATCGCCATCACTGAAGTTCAGGTTTCTGGTAGAGTCTGAAAGGACTGGTGCTGTTGTCAGCATGAGAATCCTTTGGCATCACAGTTAAACAACATGGAGAAAAAACAGAGTCATCTCCTTAGTATAAAACCAGACAGCAATTTTTCCTGTATGTGCTCGGCACAGACCAAAACTGGCTTGAAATTTCGTTACTGCAACTTCACAAGCAAAAAAAAAACCATGCCTAGAACTGATCAGAACGAACACTTAAGGCACCTGCTGCTTTGTACCTTGTGCTGTGTGGGTGTTAAATGTTACCGTACTAATCTATTAGCACAGCAGACACAGATACCTAAACAGCATACAATATAATGGAGATCCCTAGAACATACCAGGATGCCACTGCAGTTAATCCACAATCACAGAGTGGATACTGAGTCCACAATTTTTAAAGTGCATTCAGCAGGCAGAAAGAAATAATTACAATTCCTTTTGTCTTATTCCACACATGGCTAAATATAGCCTATTTATCCATAAAAAAACAAGTGGCAATTGTTTCAGGGTGGTTTACACCTAAGTTTGATACTGTTCTTCTGCAGGGCAATGCAACAAAGCAGCTTCATGCATTTTCAGCAGG